TTTGGAATAATGGTGTTTAAACCTTTTTATTATTTCTTTATATATATATATATATATATATATATATATATATATATATATATATCCACACAAGTTCCATTAAAGACGACTGACAAGGTACATTAGGCATTTTTTTCATTTTTCTTGTGTTTATATGTGTTTTCTTTTTTTCGGTCATAAAGTATGCAAACATTGTCTAAATATTCTATTTATTCGAGCATTTTGGGCTATTCTATAAAAACTGCTTTGATAATGGCTGACATTATCAAGGGTGTTTTTTATTTTTTTATTTTATTAACGGGACAAAAAGCTTAATCGTACTACCTTGTCACTCTTTAAAGAAACTTGTGTAAAAGAGGAATTTTTGCCCAAATACTCAATCATATATATATATATATATATATGTGTATGTGTGTGTGTGCGTGCAAATATATTAAAAATAGGAAAGAACCGTTAGTTTAATAATCCGAAGTTCTTTAGTATTTTTGTTTTTATTTTTAAAAAACGGTGCTCGATGCACAAGTAGAGTCTATATAATTATTTTTTTTAAATTAAAATTTTATCACTACATACCATTTTCAAAAACAGCTTCTATTTTTGAAAATGGTAATTCCTAAATTATTAAAAAATTGATTATAATATATATACTGGAAACTCTTGTTTGAATAAACGCTCAGTTTATTAATTAAACCGCATTAATTACATTTACCGGTCTGAATGTCCGGAAAAACTCGTGTAAGATATGTGTTACCCTGACAGGAATCTAACCTGTATCCCATACGGAAGCATCATTAAGACTGACGTGCTATGACCGTTCAGCCACAGAGAACTTTCGGTTAGCAAAACTCTAAGTACTGCTTCTTAACTCACAACTTCGCCGATTTTCTCGATCTATGATAGCTGTTTTGAAATTGTAGCCTAATATAAACAATGACAACATATATGAAATGGATTTTCTACAATATTTCTCGAACATTCAGGGCAATAAATGTAATTAATACTGTTTAATTAAAAAAACAGAATATTTACTCAAATAAGTGTATCCATAAACAGAAAATTTATTATTATATTTGTCGGATTTAATCCATTTCCTATGATATATATATATATATATATATATATATATATATATATATATATATATATATATATATATAAATCATTGGGTATTTTTTCGTCTTTGTTCGAATATTGCTATATGGCAAAGAGTTCATTTGATTCTTTTGATAAAGTTCTTTGCTTTTGCCAGCATTGTCGAAAGCAAGCATCAAATAATCACAGAGACTAAAATTAAGAGCATTAGCCACAATTACATTGAAATGGTTACAGTTTTCACTTGTATCAGACATAAAAAGATAGCGTGTAGAAGTATGTCTAGGTGATGTTGTATTAAACACAAGAACAACAATTATTAAAACCTGCATAAAAAATGTCTCAGGATAAGCTATTTTCTTTCTGAATTTCTGTCGGCGTGATTGTTTGGTAGTCTTCTACGAGGTGGAAATCATAAGGGCATTACCAGAAGAATAAAATTGCCAAAATTATCTCTTTGCCATATGACATCGTTTGAACAGTGGTCGGGAGCAATAAGACATGTAATAACTGAGTCTTTTATGAGAAACTGATGACTGTCTTAATTGGTTTGTGTTTTATGACGTAAATCATTGACCACTTTTAAAACAACGATTGCTTACAATCTCTATATGAACTCATATGTACGCCAATAAAGGTGACAATAAGAGCATAAAACACACATAGACATTCATATATGTTGGAATATAGAAATATAGTTTTAAGGTGTGCTATATTTATGGGATAAAATGGTCAATATCAGAGATAGAGCGCATGTAAATATAAAAGTGAACAATGAAGTCAACACTCAGGCGTGACGGGATGTTTCATGCTAGACGCAGCCTGACGATTGCGTCTAGCACGAAACAGCCTCTAAGTATTGACTTCAATGTTCTTTTTTATATTTATTTATAAGTTGGAATATATATATATATATATATATATATATATATATATATATATATATATATATATATATATATATTTAAAAGCGTTTACTCGCTCTTGTAGGTGATTCATTATTTTCAAACTCTAAACCTTTTTCTTCCCATAGAAAAAAAAAGCCATGTAAAATATTCTGACGAGCTACACTCCCTAGTCTCACTAGTTCAGACCTTTACAGCTAAGACTTGGCACGCCATATACACAGTGGTGAACCATTCTCATTCTCTTCTTATTTAACTGGTAAAGTGGTAGTTCTAATACTGTTTAATACTTCTTCCCAAGAGCGACTGTTTTATGGAACAGACTCCCGAGAGGTTGCTTCCCCGATTCCCACAGTCTGAATCATTTGAAGACTAGGGTCAACTTTATGCTATATATCCTCATAATCTGCAATTTTTACGTCCATTCGACGAGCTCATTGCGTAACCCTCTAACCTGAGTGGCTCTTTAGCCCGGCATGGGGTGAAAAATAAGGTAAAAAATGTATTTGAGTAAAGTTTGGATGAGAAACTGACGGAACTATAGATACATAAAACAATTTGAAAAAAATTTTATTTTGAAATGTTTCGCTGAACAACCGGCTTCATAAGGAAAAATGAATTTTATTTTTTGTTTTTACAAAGTGTCTATTTATTATTCCGTTGTATTTTTCTCCTACTTCACACTCTCTCTCGCATTCTGTCTGCCTGTCTCTCTCTCTCTCTCTCTCTATATATATATATATATATATATATATATATATATATATATATATATATGATGGGGATTAGATGGGTTTGGTGGAAAACAGTTGGATCTTTACATTTTTTATTTACTTGTTAACGTTTCGCTCTGTACGAGCATTATGGGAACGACTGAATAAATCATAGTAAAGAAATTTTAAAATTTTATTCACTGTTAAAACTTTTCAAATTAACCAGGTCAAAAAATTAACGGTTTCTTCACTTACATTTTGTCAGTTGTTTTGAAAATGTTTTTTCAGGGTGAAACGTTAACAGGTAAATAATTCATATCAATCATTTTTATATATATATATATATATATATATATATATATATATATATATATATATATATATATATAATACAAATAAATTCAGTTCGTTTGGAAAGGAAATCATTTTGTTGATCCCAACAAACCGATCGGAATATTTTGGAGAAGTTAGTTCATCTTGCAATGACATATAATTGTAAAATGGAGAAAATTAACGGGTCTAACTTGTAGTTAGCGTTTTCTGTATAAGGTTACATCTAGGAGTTTTCCCTTTTAAAATAATTTCACAAGGTTTCTTTAACATAATATATATATATATATATATATATATATATATATATATATATATATATATATATATATATATATATTGTATGTGTGTGTAAAAAAAATAAATGGGGGATTTGCTCATTGCAAATTGCTTGCTCTTCAACCTTGATTTCACCCCCGATTTCATTTTTGCTGTATTTCTGTCCCACTAGAAAGAATAGACGAAGAAGAGAATAGAAAGCAATAAGCGGGCAATTGTAAAAAGAAAAAGGAAGGAACAAAAATAAAGAAAAAGAAAAAATAATAATAAAAAAAAAACCATGAAGAAGACCCTACGATTATTACGACGGCCACCCCCAGGATAATCTCTGTCACCAACAGCAACAATAACGATAGCAACAACAAAATGATTATCATCATCAGCAGCAGTTGCAACCACAGTTACAGTAGAGTAAGCAGACAATAAAAATAATAATTCAAAAAGATTAATGGCACCAATGATACACCATACATTTTGGAGGGGTAACCATAATATGTTTGGCGTCTCCAAAGAAATGATAATTATATATCATACATATTTCTGTACAAATCATAAGAATTATATTTGGATTTATATATTTATATATATATCATTTGAAGTATAATTTGAAGTTATGATATACAATAAGTATATAACCATATATATATATATATATATATATATATATATATATATATATATATATATATATATTAGACATTTTATGTTTATACATTCTTTTTATAGATAGAAAGATTTAAGTAAATGCTCTGTTTTGTTGTTTTTTTTGTTTTTTTTGTTTTTTTTTTTTATAAACAGTATTAAACAACATTTAGCGGCCTGAATGCCGAGAATTTTCACAGAAAATATTCGTGAAAATTTCTCGGACATTCAGGCCGGTAAATGTTGTTTAATACTATTTATTATAAAAAACAGAGCATTTACTTAAATATTTCTATCTATAAAAGAATGTATAAACATAAAAATGTCTTAAAAATAAATGTCGGACTTTGTCCATTTCATTTATATATATATATATATATATATATATATATATATATATATATATATATATATATATACATGGCAAGATATATATATATATATATATATATCTTGCCATGTATATATATATATCTTGCCATGTATATATATATATATATATATATATATATATATATAAAGAATGAATGAATGATCGCCCGTCTGTTTTTTTTCTTGCTCTCCGCCATTCCAGTCACGTGATCAATAAAAGACTATAGGTGTCGTCTGTTTCTTTTGAGTGTTCTTTCCTCATTTAACTTTTCTTCTGTTTAATCCTTTACTCTTCCAAATATTACCGTTTAAAAAAAAGTATGATAGCATTTGTAAATGTTCTTAATTTTTCTTTCTTCTTTCTCTCATATTTGTCACCTTCATCAGAAAAAAAAGTCACATCCGGGTGGATTTCTCTTTTAAAATAATCTCCAGGTTTCTTTAACTTAATATATATATATATATATATATATATATATATAAAAAAAACAAAAGAAACTCTTAGGGGATTTTCTCGTGCAAGTTGCTTGCTCTTCATCCTTGATTTTCACCCCAGATGTCGTTTCTGATGTAATTCTGTCCCACTCCAACTTTTTCTAACTCTGTCTCATTTTTTTTCTCTCTCTCTCTCTCTATCTCTTTATCCCAGCTGTCAGTTGGCACGGTCTTAGCTAGCGTGGACACAACCCTTGACCATCAGTGCACCTTCCTCGTAATCATAAAGGGCGGGCCACACGAAGAAGTTGATGTTGCTCTTTTCGCCTTTGTCACATGACCACCAGAGCCGGTGTCGATCGACATTGAACACCGTGTCGTTGGTCGTCAGACACATAGCTGGAGTCTGAATCACCATCTGCCACGTGACACGCGCACATTCGTGCAGGTAGCGACTCAGAGTCTTGTTCTCCAGGCACGACGACACAAAGTAGGGGAATTCTCCTGATTTTTGAGCCAGAGCGACAGCAATCTGTGAAATAGAAAGAAAATGAACAATTTATACGAAAGCATATTAAAAATAAAACGTAATATTTATTTATTTATTTATTACTATGAACGTTGTTTTTAGTGGGTACACGTATTTGAATTGCTATCCCTGTTTTTCTTTTATATTCTTAGACAGTGAAATTAATAACAACCGGCTTACACTGAGAAGTAAAGACTGATTTCGTCTCTCTTACCTTTTCCATCAGGGTGTTCTTAATAGGTTAGGAGACGTCCTTTGAATCTGAGAAGGAGTCGTGTATTCAAGAACAATGAATAAAAGTGCTGAATTTGCCGAGGAAATAGACAAAGCGAAACAAATAAGATAGAATATTCTATTCTATTGGGAACATTTTTGTAAAGAGAAAGTTTAGAGGATAATTCATGTGAACTCAAGAAATGTTCTTAAGAGTCTCTTTAAAGATTCAAGAAAAATTATTGTTTACGCCATGTGCGTCTATTGTCCGAAGCTCTAATTTTAGCGTCCTATCCTGATCTCGGTCCGATGTGAAAGAACTAGTCTCTTCGAATTCACAATACGCAAGCTTTTTTTTTTTTTTTTTACGCACACGCAAAAGCTGAAAAGGAGTCGCTGCTTCTGATAGGGATATTGACATATGCGTGTCTAGCGGAATAATTTTAACGACTGCTGCAAACGAAACCGCGTTCATAGCCGAAACGTGTCATTACTAATTCGGCTACGGAAGTCGCGTTGATAGACCAAGGTTTGAATTACCTTTTTAAGGAAAGTACAATTTTTCTCGTTAGGACTTCTACGAATCTATATTCGGTTTCGTACCCGAAAAATAAATAACACTAATTTTGGAATGGATATACGTATACATATTAAAATCAAAAAACGAAGCAAAACAGAAACGTTTATCGTAATAAAGAAATAATGTCGGATAAAAAAAAAATTAATTAAAACATCTTTCTATAAATATAGGCGGATGCATATTAATATATTATAGCACACACACACACACACACACACACACACACACACACACACACACACACACACACATTTATATATATATATATGTATATAATATAAAAAAAAAGAAAGAACAGTAAGATATAAAATCCGGTGTTCTTATGAAATGGAACTAATGCTTTTAATTTAATTGCAAAATTAAATTCGGGGTTTTTAGCTTCTATTTTTGAAACATGGTTGGAACTGTGTAGCGAAAAAAAACCATATTTTAAATCAATTAATTTATAATATATATATGTATAGAAAGAAAGAAAGAAAGAAAGAAAGAAAGAAAGAAATATTTATATCAATATATAAAATTAAATGTTCGACTTGTCTTACCCGATCCCGAGTTTGGCGGTAGCCACTTGTCAGAGGATCTGCTAGCTAAGATGAATTTATTTAAAGAAATCATATATTAAAAAAAAAAAAAAAAACTTAATTCTCTCGAAAAAGGCGACAATTTTGGACATCAACATATTTTAAAAAATTTCTTTCATGAAAATGTTATTGTAATGTCATAATTAATTTGAAATGATTAGATTATGTAGTTGAGATCATTATGTAACCAAAGTTTTATTTTCTGTTTTGGATAGGAATATGTGCAAAAGAAACTTACTTTTATTTGTTGCTATTAATAGTCTATTTCTTAATACCGAGCACTTTAATTACAAAGACCGCTTGCCTTAAAATCGTTATCATCCAGAAATATACTGATCAACCTTTTCTTTTATTGGCGTAAAGCAATCTTTGTTATTATCAAACCATAAATGTATATAATTTAAGTTTTAGTTTATCAGAAGTGTGGCCACACTCAGTAATGATTGAGCTCCCTGCAATAGTAATGCTAAGAGGTACTATCTTTCTTTAACAAAGCTCTGTAGCGAGGCGACCACGCACTCACACACAAATTACTTCAAGCTTTATTATAATAAATACTCGTGTTTAGAATAGATCCCCATTTTTATTTTGACTTCAGTGTGTATTACACCATCGGTCTGCGTATTGGAGAAATCTTAATAAAGATAATGTGCTCTCCCAAAAAGTGGGTGGGGAGCTGATACCATTCCTACTGGAGAGCAAATTCTCTTTACTAAGATTTTTACGTTTATTCAAATACGAGTATCCACTATAAAAACTTTTGGTTTGGAGTAGTAAAAATGTCGGATTAAAACTCAATATATATATATATATATATATATATATATATATATATATATATATATATACGAGGTGTATTCCAGAAGTTTTGAGATCTTTTTAGGAGAGGCAGTTTTAACTGTTCCAGATTATTGTAATTTATTTTAGAATATCATTACTTTAAACCTAACCTACCAACTTTTGATTTTTCCAGATTGAAGAACGCGGTTGTAACAGCTCTTTGATCCCACTCTACAAAACACTGACTGTCACGTCTAGTTTGATGTATGCAGTCGGATCGGAAAAAACAATTGCATGCCCACTATACAATAAAGCTTTGTGTCGACAGAAATGGGTATCAAAACTGTCGCTCACCCTCCCAACAGTATAGACCCCTGCTCCCTGTGACATTTGGTTGTTCACCAAGCTGGAGAACCCCAGGAGCAGTCGTTTTGAAGATACTGAGTAGTTGAAGAAGGCCGTGACAAAGGTCTTGGGCACCTTCACTGTGGATGGCTTCCACGGGACCTTCGCGATGTGGCTGGATCGCCACAACAAATGCATTGAAGTTAGGGGATCCTACTTTAAAGGAGATTAGAGTTGTGTACGTCTTTGAAAAGAATAAATAACTCCGTTGAAAAGAATTTCAAAACTTCTGGAATGTACCTAGTGTATATATATATATATATATATATATATATGAATGTATGTGTGTGTGTGTGTGTGTGTGTGTGTGTGTGTGTGTGTGTGTGTGTGTGTGTGTGTGTGTGTGTGTGTTATACTAATAATTATACTCGGTTGGTGAAAAAATCGGATGGCACAATTTGCAAGTATATCAAAACAAATTGTTATTCGAGGAAAAAAATTGGAAAAAAGAAAGAACTAGAAACACCCAAACATGGCAAAAAAATCGTACAGTACCTGAAATTTCTAGTTCAAAGAAGAAAAAAAAAACAAGCGAGTAACTAAGATAAAACGTAGAGTGCTCAATACGCTAAGTAGGGCAAGGCTGACCCTGAAGATCCATTTAGATGAAACCTAGGTAGGTAGTTCTGGCTCTTTCGGATTTATTATATATATATATATATATATATATATATATATATATATATATATATATATATATATATATATTGCTTTTTCAACCTGCCTGAAAGAGATCTAGCAATCGAAATCCGGATAACGTGGTTGTGAGAGATTATTTTTCAAGGCATCTCGCTCTACATTTTATATCTTATATTTTATAGCTTGCATCGACCACTTTTTGGGTGTTTACGCCTTTCTAGGCGGCCCCCTTTTTGTTTTTTATTTTATTTATTTATTTTTTGGCATTCTATTATAATATAATATTTTATATTTTAAATAATTATATATATATATATATATATATATATATATATATATAGAGAGAGAGAGAGATAGAAAGAGAGAGAGAAAGAGAGAGAGAGAGAGGTCAACAACGTGTGGAGTCTATTTTAGGCTTAAAAGCATTGTTCACACCATGTGTTTTGGTTCGACTAAATATATATTCGTCACTGGTGCATTATGTGCAGCAAGGTATTATTACTTAATTATTTGTTCTTGGTTATTATTATTATAATTATTACATTATTAAGCAATCAGTAATAAGTAATGGGTAAAAAATTATTATTATTATTAGCTGCAAATAACAACGTTCGCATTCCACAATTATCCCTACTCAAAAGCCTATAAAATAATTTGAACTATAACCGTTACCACCTCCGCCAATAAGCTTTAGGATAATAGAACAGACTTTGTTGCTCTTAACGCACTATTTACTAGTATATATAAACAGGCGGGCCGAAATACAACATACATGACTTGAAGTTTACGTTCAAGCATGAAACAGACTGTCGCTGTTCTCTGTTGACCTCAGTGTTCACTTTTATATACGCTCTATCCCTAATATAACATACTTTAAAACTATATTTTCATCATATTACCTTTGTGTGTGTGTGTGTGTGAGTGTATGTATATCTATCTATCTATCTATATATATATATATATATATATATATATATATATATATATATATATATATATATATATATATAATTTCATGGGATAAAGGCACAATACCTTAGAAGCATTAGCTAGAACTTACCTTGACGAAAGCAGATGTCTCAATTTCGTCAAAGTTCTGACGAAGAGCCATCAAAATTCCGTCTCTGAGGTCATCTGTCAAACCCTGTTTTACGGGAGGCAATCCGTTCTGGCCGACTGATTCCTAGAATAGAAAAAGATTTTGTCTTTTACATAAACATTTCGCCTGAAAAATAAATGCCATAAACAGCAATTAAAATGCCCCCCCCCCACCAAAAAAAAAAATAAAATGAATACTATTAATATAGCTCCGCAGTCACAGAACTAAAACCAAATGATGTCTCTTCAGGGCGCATGGGATCATGCCTCTGCAAAACATCCCTTTCTTTATTATCTGTAAACTGACATGATATCCTTCGGAACATAGTAGACTTGTTTTCCGTTGCATTCTTTACGCTTTTTAATTCAGAATTATTTTCTCCTCGACTGGCTGATAGCCAAAGCTAGAGATCACAGTCTAGCATGTTATTTAATCCATAGATTGGATTGGGGAAATGTGATGGGTTTATGCTTTTCCCAAGAGCAATATTGCAAAAGTGAACGTAACAGACTAGGTTAGAACTTGAACTCGGTTCGCCGGTTCTCATATCCACACCGATACACTTGACGCTACCCGCACACAGATTAGTATTAGTGAAACAATAGATTGCCAAGGGAAGTGGAATCTTAATCATTTGAAATGTTTGTTTCTTTTCGTTCTCACTTGTTCCCTCACACATTCTCATGCGTAACCCAATACATAAATTAGAGCGCCATAAAATAAATAGAGCCTCATACATTTATCCCAGTATTGCTTACATCTTTCCAAAGCAGTTTGCAACCTCCTCCTTTTTGGGAACAACAATCAGTTTCTTCGCAATATTCTACATAAACTCGTCCACAGTTTGAAATTTCTTTTTCAAAGGTGAATACCAGAAATTATTTGGCGCCAAATCTAGACTCTATTGAGGAGCTGACACACACGCACTATATATATAAATATAATTTCACCTCAAGCAAGGTGATAAAGCCATTAAGACGTAATGAGTTATTGAGAATAGAATAATATGAGAAAAAATTATTAAAGAGAGAGGACAATAACAGAACTGGAATTAAGGATATATACGATAACGATTGACATGGCATATACATTTTTGAAGATCAAATTTGACCGAGAAATGAGAAACCGGGTGATATTTCCACCAATGAGTAATGCGAAAGCAGAAACTGTTAACACAGAACTTATGACAAATCTAGCAATTTCAACTGTAAAATGTTGAGACCTAACTGCCATTCTAGTATTGAACTTAAATTTGTAAAGTCTAGGTACCAATGAGGAAAGTTCATCAGAAAAATTACTAGAGAAATATTTATTGAAAAGGCATAGGAAAGCTACATTATGGCGGCGGGAAAGTGACTGAAGCTGAGATGCCTGGTTGGGACATATAAAGGTGTAAGATTGATTTTGTCGAGAAAAATTGTCTAGCACAACACAGTGAACCAAAGGCCTAACAATTGATTCCATATAATCGTTCCATTTCATGTCAGTGGAAAACGGTAGTCCGAGAAGACGTAATGAGTTAGAAGGTTAGCACCAGCCATGCTGAAAGAATGCAAAAAAAAATTCTCTCAGTTTATTAAAGTAGAATACTTTAGTTACGGAGGCTTTAAAATTATCCTTAATATTCTGAAATCTCATCTATTTCAAAAGCATTAAACTAAGACACAGGGTGTCCAATCTTGACTGTAGGCGGAACTGACATAACTGAGCAATGATAATGTTTTGCCTTAATTCAGCTATTCCGAAAAGCGTAATTGGTTAGACATAAGAATTAAATACTCTCGAGAGTAGGCTATTGGTTTAGTTCCGTTAGGCTCTCATATATCGAATTTGAATGGATAATCCACTCCTAAGGTATGTGCAGACAGGTGATATTTGGGCCGATATGTTTTATTGTCATCCTTACTTGTACAATTTTCATTTTTTCAGGTAAAGGTCACATGTATAGCTGGCAGATTTGGATTAGCCCGAGCAGCATATTTGTTGCCACGATTTTCTTCTGATCAAGTGTTCACTACTTGATATTGCGCATCGAACCGAGAATAGAAACTGGCGACCTGAGTTCGAATTTCTGCCGAGTCTGTTACGTGCACTTTCGCCCAAATATTCTTGGAAAAGTTATGAAACCATCTCTTCCTCCCCGCTAAATCTATGAGTTAAATAGAAGGTCTACACCAGGCATGGGCAACCTTTTTCGAACAGTTGCCCGCTTGAGGCTCAGTCCATCATAAGATGGGCCGCACTTCTAAAACAATTAAGGTATTTTTTAAATTAAAAAAACCGTAGCCATTTTTCCAAGAAAGGCATCTGCCTTAGAAATGGGGAAATTTGATTTGCTTTTTTTTCTTTGGAGAAAAGATTTCTTGTATAATTGAACAAATTGAAATCTTAGTATAATATTATCACTGATGACAGCGGGATTAAAACACATTGCTTCATGTGATTTGTTTCTAATTTATTCATTTGAGTAGAGAAAAATATTTGTAAAAGAAGAGTAATTATCATTGACGTTTACTGTTTCTGAAGTAAAAGATGTTTACACCTATGATCTTCCTTAGTGAAAATCGTCAATGGTTTAAAATGCTGACAACGTTATCTTAAACGAAATGTTACAAAATTCAAGAAACATTGTATTTAATTATTGTTTATGTATGTGGTTATGTATGAGAGAGTGAACAAGTGAGAATGAAAAGAAACAAACATTTTAATAAACGTCATTTTCTTCATGAATTTAAGCGAGCCATTCAAAAAGCCAACAGGCCGCAGTTTGCCCAATGATTCGTCTACACTGAGGTGGCAACCAGTTTAAGAAAAAAAGAAAACTGAATTCAAAACCGGCAAGATACAACAGCTGCTATTCCTATAGCAATTATGAAGCCCCTACGACTCTAATAGGATACAGGGCTCATCATCATGATAATTTCTTAATGTTCAATGTCGTTTAATGGATTTATCGAGTGTAACCGGTTATAGTTTCTTTTAAGTGATTGCAAGTGAACAAAATGAGAACAGGATTGCCTTCATTACCTTCTTCTATAAAATAATCCAGTTCTGAATTGTTTTCATGCGTATTTTTGTTGACTTGTTTAAGAATGCATTTTTTCTTCTTTTTTTTTTCTGAATATTATTTTTCTCAGAAAACAAACAAATCTTCATGTAGCTATCATTTTTTAGGAATGTGGAATTCTATATACTCTAAATGACATACATAATTGTACCTATACTCTAAAGGGCTGGTCTAAATGGCTGTTCACAATAGATACACAGCATACGCTGGTAGACTAAGACTGACTACGAGAACTGTGCGTCAACGATGATAAATCAAAAAAAAAAAATCACTAATAAGCCGCATAATTGGTCCGGCGTAAACACACGCAGGCCCAATTACACGACTTAGTAGCCCACATAAGCGAAATAAATTATGGAAATTAATAAATAAAGCGAAATAAAATATTACAAACATGCTTTATATGATTTAGCTTTTCAGCACTTAACTCCATTTAATAAATGCTCCGATTAACCATCGACCCAATTAACCGGAATCTAGCAAGTATTCCATCTGTAATTAGCTTTTGATACGTATTGTAAAAGATCAACATCAATTGAAAGAAGACAGAATGCATGGTTGTTAGCAAAAAGAAACACAGCTAATTTCCAATTGGATATACCAATATCAAACAAGTACAACAATATCTCGGATTTTTTTTTAACAGAGGAAGGAAAGTATGACACTGAAATTCGAAAGCGCATTGACAGCGAAAAATGCCATCTAAAAGCTAAGCAAAGTATTAAGAAATAGAAAAAAATTCGTTAGAAACAAAATAAGAAAAGAATACGGAACTGTTATGTAATATCAGTCTTCCTATACGGCAGTGAATGCGGGACAATCTCCTCCCAAATGAAGAAGAGACTTGAAGCAACAGAAATGTGGTTCTACAGAAGGATGCTGAGAATGACGAAGATTTAGAGATAATTGAAACAAAAAGGACACTCATACTGAACATCAGGAAGAGACAGTTGAAATTTCTAGGTCACATAATGAGGAAAGAGGGCTTGGAACATTTGATACTCACAGGATGGATTCAAGGTGGGTTTAGAGAGGAAAACAACGCATATCTTACATAGTTTGAGTAAATGGATGGCAGAATAAGGTTTAGGAGAAATAACAAAAAGACAAAAACAAAGGACAGGAAATTGTGGAGAGCCATGATCGCCTACGTTTTGAAGGAACACGTGCATAGAAGAATGTAAAACAAGGAGGCATATGATTAACATCATTTATGCATGATAGGTCAATTATAAAAAAAAGGATTTTTGAAGTTTATTCAGCGCTTTATTGATTGTACGTGTATAGGCTTTAACAATTTCACGTAGAAAATATTAAATTTGACTTTATTTTCGATTAAAATCATGGTTAACTATAAAATGCACATTCGACGCTCAAATTTTATTTTTCATATTTAATCTGGACAAAAGAGCAGTGGTAACTAAGCAACAGATCGTTGAAGATTAGTGCAGTGTTGGAAAAGTTTTGCGAAATTTTAAAACAAAAAAATGAAAGAAAAAATCTTGACCCCAGAATCAAAAATCATTCTGGCAGATATCAGAACTTGAAATCAGAACTCGGAAACAGGGAATTAAATGATTATTTAAAAAAAATAATAGGATAAACATGTGTCATTTGAGAAAAGTTCAAGGTGAATTATTCAACTCCTTCAAAGTATTCGTTGCATGAAAAACGAACAATTGTTCTGGTCAAGAAAGTCGAGCGGTGAACTTGCTGCATGGTAACGCAAATGCGATGCAGCAAAAAATCTTTGAGCTAGGCTGCCTTTCTCAGCAGGGCCTAGAATACTCCAAGTGAATCCCCATCTTGGGTGTAACCCCCACCTAATAGGGACCACCTAGCAAGTAAATGCTTTCTAACTCAAATATACGAGGGTCATTCAATAAATAAGGTGAATTTTTAGGTATAAGAACTTCTAATACAGATAGAAGCTTACTTTTTTTTTCTTTGCTTTACTTCTTTTTCGCATGGATTTAATTTCTTTTGCAGATTAAAAAAAACTTTGAGAGTTTTGGCGATTAACAAAGATGGCCGACTAAGAAGCATGTTCCAGTATTGAACAGCTGTCAGTTATCAAGTTTTTGGTTGCTGAAGGGTGCAAACCAGTTGAAATTCATAGGAGAATGTCAACTGTGTATGGTGCCACATGTTTCAGCCAAAAAAATGCCTACAAGTGGGCTAAATTGTTTAAAGAAGGACGGAGCAGTGTTGAGGATGAAGACAGGACTGGGAGGCCTACAGAAGTGAGGTCTCCTGAGGTGATCGAATCAGTCAATGACCTCATTCAGTCTGACAGAAGAACTACTGTGAGCTGCTGAGGCAGGTCAAGAAAGACATAAAGAACAAACGCAGGGGTCATCAGTCAGAAGGAGTCATCTTGCATCATGACAACGCAAGGCCTCACACAGCAGCCCAAACGGTGCAGACCATCAACGGGCTGGGCTGGGAACTGCTCCCTCATCCCCCTTACAGCCCAGACCTTTCCCCTTCAGACTTTCACCTGTTTGGTCTCTTGAAAGCGTTCATGAGAGGCACGAAGTTTAAAAGTGACGATGAAGTCAAAAGTGTTGTGAGCGACTGGCTGAGACATCAGTCCAAAGATTTTTACGCTGAAGGAATACGGAAGCTTGTGCACAGATGGGGAAAAATGTGTGACAGTGCTGGGAGACTACGTTGAAAACCTTATTTATTGAATGACCTTCGTATATGATCTATATTTACCTGTTTCCAAAGCTAGTAAATGTTGAGAATCCGATATTAACAACCAATGATTACCTATACCCAAACTAGGTAAATACTTGCAGACTAAAATATAAACAATCAATATTTACCTATTTCCAAACGAAGTAAATATTTACAGACTCAAAAATAAAATATAAATATTTACCTATTCCCGAATCAAGTAAATGCAAACCTATTCTTGAACCAAGCAAATGCTTACAGATTCAAATATAAACGACCAATATTTACTAATTTCATACCCAAGTAAATGCTTCCAAACTCAAATAAGCCTATCTACATTATTCGGACTATCGTCCTCATCTTTGTTGCCATAATTATCATAAAGTTTCGGCCGATGTACGCTAGGGCCTTCTTCAGGTGGTTGGAATGTCGAACTGAACCCTTTATTTCGCTCGCTGAGTTAAACTGTTCTAGTTCTACGTGCCATGTCTAATGGATGTCAGTTATCAGTTATCTCCTGTTAATTCCACGCTCCAAGTTAAGGACACATGGCACAGTGGATAAAGGCGTTGGTTAGATCCAGTGACAGGACACAGAAAGTTGTGAGTTCAATACCTGGTTAAGCTTGAAAAGGGGAATTAACAAGAATGGGTTTCTGGTTCCTTCTAAGGTTTTTTATTCTCTTTCACTCTCAGGAGCCCCTTTTATTATAGTGGCATTACCGCCTTGCTTGTATCCTAGTTAATTTCTTTGATTTCTGGTGAAAACCTGATTCAACATGTCTCCTCAATGTATTGAATGTCACTTAAGCGGCTGGGCGTGTGGCCAGTAACCTCACCTCACAAAAAAAAATTACTTTACTACAGAAACCACAAAAGTGGCTCTTGAACAAGAAAAAGGAAGAGTTATATCGGAAAGTGGTGATGCTTCGTTGTTCAACATGTTAATCTCATTTTTAATTATCTTTTTTGAAGTAATTCTGGGGTCTAATTGTAGGATTATAATTATATTATTCACACAGAAATTAATGAAAAGGAAAATGTTTCACTTACCGCCAGTGTGGGATGTTTCAGTAATACACTAACTGTAGACTGAAGTTTATCATACACACTTTGGGATGCCTCAAATGTTTTCTGAAATGATACAAAAGAAAAGGGGAAAAAAGATTATGTTGCGTCATAAATAATTTCCATTTTGCCGAAACAATTGTAATGTAATGCGTCTAATGGAAAGATAATGCTAGTGGCTGTCTTCTCGTCCTGACTTTTGATCAATGACAGACTAATTAAGACTGGCAATAAAAAGAAAATTGAATGATATTTATTTGGAAATAGTGCAGAGTCCAGATGAGGGATGAAGAGAAGTAAAGCAAGTAAGGATTTTAATTCATTTATTTGCTCCCGGCATCATTTCACGTTTTAAAATTAAGGAGTCTCCGTCTCTCTTTGTTTTGTTCGACACAATGTATAAACACATATTTTTCTATACTTCATCTTTTGTCTTGTTGTCCCAGCGGGAGTTTTAGATGGGTTACATCCGTATTTTTACTATGCGTACTTACGACAATGGCTGTTTTTCATGGCTGTAATGTTCGGATAAGCTCCACTCTTTAGTTCTACCAGTTCAGACCTTTACAGCTAGGACACGATATATTATGTTCATGGCGCCGAATCTCCCTCATTTCTTCCGTATTCCAATTGTAATGAGGCAATTCTACGCAGAAATCTTTATTTCCTAAGATCTGCTATTTTGTGAGACCTGCTCCCGGGCCAATGTTTCCTGAATACTACAATTTTAACCACTTCAAGTGAAGGTTCTATTATTATATATCCTCTTTATGCTCATAAAGGAGACTTGATGCTATCGGCCTGAAGAGGCGATTCCATCGTGTGACACTTTTGGAAATTGCATTAAAAAACCACGGTTTGACCCAAGCCTTTTGAGTAAAATTGGATAGATGGAACTATTGTGGGAGTCATCGATTCTTCTACTATAAACAAGTCATCGCGACAGGCGGTTTGAGCGTACGGGTCTTGTTCAGACTGTTGATCCCACCAGATAATGCGCTCTCTACGTGAAAATGTAACTAAGGTACACTCAACATAGTTGCACTATAAACCACAGGTGGGATCTGTGGGTGTTGAACAAACACAACTGTGCCTGAGCAGGCGTCTGCAACAGGGATTGGCTAAGAGCGCTTTCCAGACAAGCATATTGTGATACAAGCAGCCCGCCACCATCCTTCATCTTCACTTCCTTCTACTTCCTCTTAGTCTTGTATCACCCACCTTATTTAGTAACTTCTACCTTGAGTGGTTCTCTAGACTTGTATTGTGTGAAACTTAGTGGAGTAAATAACCTGTATCCATGTTTGTTACCTTTTGAAGACTCAGTACTGTTCGATAAAGCTGATTGATACTGCAACAGTTCAAATCTTGTCCGAAGTCTAATTCTTTGTATCAAAGCCAGACAACTTAAAATCAACGGGAGGTAAATTTTATAAAGAACAATAAGTGAGAAAGAAGGTTCTAGTCGAAAAATATTTATTGAAAATACATCAGCAAAGATAAACTGAAATAAAACACAAAACGCACATTTTTCTTGAAACGTATTAATTACGGTTAATATTATTCATTCTTTTATTTGTATTTCCTTCTATAACGGCTACTCAGATCGTCTCTCTACGACCTTTAGTAAACAGTGCATATCATAAATAAAGACAAGAGCTTGACCGTTCGAGTAAAATAGTGAATAAGGCTATTTAGTTCAAAATGATCAGCAGCCGTTAGTTTTCATAGCCGAAACAGTAGAGCAGCTGCTAATGTAAGACAAAAGTTCTGAGGAAGAGTGGCGTGAAATCGATTTTTGCCGAAATCCTATTCCTTATTTTTGGCGTTTTAAGTTTCAGTAGACACCAGAAAATAAAATTGCATCCAGGATAAACTCAGCGTGGATGTAGTAGTAAGCATACCACTTGAACTGAAATAATATTTTCCGATTAATCGTTAGTAATTTAATCTAGCAAAAAGAAACAAATCTATAAAATAGAAAAGAATTGGCAAATGGAAGGACAGACAACACAAAAACGTTCATTTGCAAACAAGACTCTACGAAGAGGTTACCTCCCCTTTCTGACAGCCAAAACTAACAATTTCTCTCACATTCAGCAATAACTCATTCTTCATCACAACTCGATATTGTCTCATTTTATGAATAATTTAATATCAAACTGTGATACTTAATTCTTATGGATATTATCACTCAGGGATGTTTGATATCTTCAGAGAACATTGTCTAAAATGTTTGAAACTCAGCATAAAATGTTCGAATCTCGATTTATCAAAATTCTTCATTATGTTGGCTTGCGGGGACTACTCCAGTACAATGTACTGTTGAGAAATGTATGAAAAAACATACCACATGTTGACACAAGACTTATAAGTAAAACTGGGTAGACGAAACTGTTCGAATAGTTGTGCTAGCACATAGTCATAAGTCATCGTGACTGAGCGTTCAAGCGAATAGCTGTGTTCAAACTGTTGATCATGCCAGATTCTGTAATCTGTCCCAGAAACTGTAACTAAGGTTTGCTTAGCATAGTTGCAGTATAAACCACATGTTGCCTTTTTAGGCGTTAAAAAAATACACAAAAGCATAAATGTACCTGAGCGAGTGTCTTCAACAGAGATGGTATAGCTAAAAAATATATGGTACTAATTTTTGATCCAGTAGTTTATTATTTATTAGATGGAACAAGGTGAAGTATAACTGGTAACACTGTAAACTACAAAGGCACCGTCCTGGGTATGACGATAAACTACATCCGAGTCCTGGGTAAGACGATAAACTACACCCAACAGCAAGCCTCTGATCAGGAGGATTTGAGGAGCGTGGAACTACCTCTTAATTGTTGGTGTTCCCAGGTCCACCATGACCCGTGGTGGTAGCACCTGTCAGGGTCCCAGCTATGGGCAAACAGTTACCACCCCCAAACGTGTCAAAATACTATGAAGGTATAAAATACTTTTTAATACCATCAATACATTTTTTTTAAATATTACCAGAAATACATTTTTGGAAAAAATTTTTACTAGCAATACATTTTTGGGAAAAAATTATTACCAGCAATACATTATTAAAAAAAAAAAAAGAATTTTTGCCAGCAATAAAAATATCGTCGGCATTAAATAAGCCATTGAGGTTGATATGCCGTAAAACAAACCAAACCGAACCTAGAAAAGCAAGTGAAGTTATGAAAGAAATACTACTAAAGAACTAATAATCAACAGTTTGATATATTAATAATAATGTAACAGGGAAGTAAATCTGATTGAATCCTACTACTTCTTGGAAAGTGGTTAGTGACTTGAGATATTGAGAGACAATAATTCTGAGCGAAGGAATAAAGATATTAGGAGAAAATATGGGGGTGTAGTTAATCGGATTGGAGTCTGATATTAAAAAAAAAGCCTGATTTAGAAATATAAATTTAAACCCATAAAATGCTTACAACGAGGTTCCTCGGAAGAATTTAAGCTCAAATTAAAATAAAATTTTGTAAGATTCAGGGTAACTGACACTCCCAGTCAAACTCTATATCCCCAAGGAAGTTGGCATGATATGATAAATGAGTTTGCCAAAGTTCACAGGATTTTCAGTAACTTCAGGGTTTGTTTAGCAATCTATCAGGCATATTCACATTGATTTCAATAAGAATTTTGTAAACTTAGAAATTCAAACACTTTATGGTATTGCCATCTGTGTTATTTAACAAGGAGCTTCTTTGAAAAGCTAATTAAACATGCCTATTCTGGACCAAAGGCTATATAAATGAAACACGCATGCACAGAAATAAGAGAGTTACCCACAGATCGTTACAGCCCATGACTCGAAATGAAACGCTTGCAAAATAAGCAGCAGTCCTGCCTGTACTTATCATGCATTAGAGAAAATCTATCACAGAATTCATCCACTGCTAAGATGAGACGTCTCTCAGTGCCTCAAGGGTAGAAAAGAAGTGATTGGGATGAAATAGCTTCATAGCTGTTTTACGATTTTTACATTTTCCCTTTTATCAAATTGTTGATAATTTTTCAACAGCACTGTTTCTTCTGTTGGTACGTTTACTCCTTTTTTTTTCAGGAAGATGGAAATGGTGTTCCGATCGACAAAACAACGGCCTATTATTTTCTTGCAGATACGCAACAGTTGGATTCTACTAGACGGTGCGTATTTCGGGGAAGGAGGCAAACCAGAGAAATTGATTGCATCGAACTTCACCATCTCTCTATCCTCCCTGGCACATTATTCAAAACCTAGACAAGTATATTGTATTTGGTGACCAGCATAGGTATGGGTTATGTCTAGTGATTACGGCCAGAAGGTTATAATGCAGTGACCACGGCAATACAATATAAGATATACATCCCCCTCCTCTTCGGTTTATAAAAAAAATATCAGATGAAAGCAAAGATACTTGAGAAAACGATAAAAGCAAACAAAAACTAAACCTTTAAAATTCAATTGTTTGTTTTGCTTTCTATCTCCGTTTTAAAGCCCTGGGCCTTTTATGCAATCCCCTTTTGAAAAATAAAGATTAAAAGACCCACGTCAGTTTGTTTTTAAAATCAGCATTCAAGTAAGTATTTATTCGTGCGGAATTATGCGCAGTGAAAGTCCTTCGTATGTGCATGTGATTAGGGACAGAATCTACAACTCCTGAGCTCTTCTTGTTTGGATACCCCAGGCGCCAGAAATTAAAATTTACGCCCCACCCACTTGTAAATCTACTTAATTTATATCATCAGAAAAAAAGAAGAAGCTACAAATGGCGTTGTTATTGCAGAAGAAAATACTCACCATAAGCATAAAACAAAGGAATTTAACAATTTCCTCTTCATCTCTGTTAGTTGTGTCCTCTAGACTTTCTTTGGCGTCCACCCACTCCTGACTTTCTAGGGTGTCGTATTTCATAGCGATCACAGACGGCCGGCATCGTTCATTAATATTTTCGAACTGACGGTTGTCACGACGAATCACAGCTTTGGCGGGACTACTGCACAGCCTGCAGAAGATAGAAAAAGACAACGTTTTTATCGCAAGTTTTGAAATGCAGTAAACGGCAAAGTAGTTGGTAAAAAAAAAAGAGCTTCGTAAACAATTCATGCGACTTTTGTAGTTTATAAATTTTACAATGAAAATAAAGGGCTTATGAAAATGACTGATAAAAATATCATGGAAGGTAGTGATTCTGAACCGCGCGGGAAATATTGAAGAAATCGAGAAAAAACACCAGGCACAGATTTCACACTAAATACTCTGATCAAATGGTTGAATAGAAACATTGAAATAAAGTAAGTTCATATTTGTGTGTGCATTTTTTTTTTTTAAATCCATAGTTTTATTTTAATTGGAGGAATGGATTGAGGAATCTGAGAGCCGAGTTCGAATTCCAGTCGAATCCATTACATTCACTTACGTACTAATACCTTTGGGAACGGTATGAATCCTCTTCTTCTCCCCCCAGTTATGGGTAAATAGCAAGACAGACTGGGTTCTATAGCCTTGGATAGCAACTGGTCTACCGCAGAAAGAAATGGCAACCTACTGCGGGAAAAATCTTCCTCGTCAGTCATGTATCTTTCGATACATGATCGCCAAAGCATGTATCACGCATGGCACATAACTGACTGAAATTCACTTACGTGCTAATACCCTTGGGAAAGGTGTGAATCCTCTTCTTCCCCCCCCCACCCAAAGTTATGGGTAGATAGCAGGACAGACCGGGTTCTAAAGACTTGGATCGCAACTCGTCTACCGCAGAAAGAAATGGCAACCTACTGCGGGAAAAAAAATCTGCCTCGTCAGTCATGTATCGAAAGATATATGATCGCCTAAGCTTGTATCAAACATGGCACATGACTGACTGACTCTTTAAGAATTTTGTTAAGCGTGTCGTGATATTTTCATTTAGTTTTTTTTCAGTGTGCCGTTACTTAAAAAGGTTGAGAAACACTGATGCAAAGTGTAAAATAAAAATACGAGGCTAATAATAGCGCATTACAGAAGAATCGCTTTAGAAATTCTTCCTATTTTGGAAATGATTTAAAAGCATTTCACTTTCAAAATGGGAAGTGTACCAAGTAAAATAATATATGATACTAATGTATATGTATACTAATGTATATGCTACTAATGTAATAATATATGCTACTAATGTATATGTATACTAATATATATGCTACTAATGTAATAATATATGCTACTAATATACTTTCATTGTTGTCCGTTCTTATTTTCCTTTTAATTCCTCGTCATTAGAGGTAATGTCTTTAAAAAAAAAATTGGAAAAAATATTTTTCAGTTTGCTAAAATTTAAGACATTTTTCTTAAAGATGTGCGTATCCCATTTTGGTTAGCCCTATTCCATTTTAATTGGAATTATTTAATTTTTAAATGTGACTGTTCGATGTGCGCGTTGTCAAGTGGTTAGAACGATCGCTTTTCGACCACGAGACCCGGATTTAAATTTCAGTATAGTCGATTTGTCAGATATCACCAGTTCTTATTTATGACTAAACTCTACAGAATATATACATATATTTGAGAGAGAGAGAGAGAGAGAGAGAGAGAGAGGAAATAGGAAACATCTTGAAGTAGTTTCCGTGTTCGGAAAAGATGAATTCTGATCAAATAAAGATCTAATATGCATCGGAATCCGACAGAATGATAGGTTAAAGGACAAATAGGAAACACATGGAACATTGAACATAGAAACGACTTCAAAACGTTTCCTATTTGTTTTGTATCCCAACATTCTGTCGGATTGCGATTGCATTGAACACGGTCAAGATATTGATATAAAAAGTAATGGAAGCCTTATGAATGAAAACAAAAGCACAACACAAAATAATATTAGCTATGAACATGAACACAATATCTTGGCCGTGTTTTGAAAAATTAAAACATTTTATAAAACATACATGCAACAAACTATTTCTTATTTAACAGTTAAAATATTTAATCCTTGAAAATGGCTAAACGGACAAAAACATTCGGACAGTTTTTATATAATTTATCATCTAAAAAGAAAAAAAATTATTAGATCGCATGAGAAATTGTATAAAAAACTAAATAAAAGCACCTTGTCTGTCGTATTCAATGAAATGTGCATGAAAGAAGGATTGCTGCTTAAATACACACACACACACACACACACACATATATATATATATATATATATATATATATATATATATATATATTTGGGCAGCAATCCTCTTTTATCCAAGTTTTGCTAAAGATTACTGACAAGATACTGCGATTAAGCTTTTCATTCAATTTTTTCTAGTGTTCGTACAACTGTTTTCTTTTCTCGACACAAAGTGAGTAAAAAATGTCTAAAAGTTATTTTAGATGTGAATGAGGCTATTATACTTGTATTTTCTACTAGTATATTGCCAATGGAGTTTGGTAGGTTTCCGTATGTGTTTAAATGAGTCCTAAAAAAACACACACATATATATATATATATATATATATATATATATATATATATATATATATATATATATATATATATTTCTGAGGCACAGACATCATCACTGTTTTTCCATATTTTATTTTATTAATGTTACCTCAGCCTAATGAGCCATATAACAAAACTTATCATCCGGATTCTGATGAAAAATGTGCACAGCAGATTTAGACCAGAAATAAAACAATAACAGTGCCTGTTCATTAAATACATTGGAATAAGAAATGCTATATTTATGCTAAGAATGATACCAGAAAGAGCAATGAAAATGCAAAAGGATATATACCTATGTTTTATAGATTATGCAAACGTATGATAAAATATGATTAGAATAATCCAGAACCTATACTTGCAGCAAACTGCCTGCATACCGATAGAGAATTAATTCAATAAATATAAAAATAACAGAAAGAGGTGTAAGACGAGGATGTGTCTTCTCACCGGACTTATTCAAATTATACAGGGAATTAGAAATCCTACCAGGATTCATTATTGACGGCCACAGTCTTAACACCATAATATATGTTGATGACACAGTGTTGATAGCAGACACAGAAAGAAAACTACAATAATTCTACATACTGTCGACATGAAGAACGCATGGATAAAACAATTTTCTCATCTATTTTCTACCCATTCTGAATGATTTCCATCTCAAAACTCGGACAATTAAGGCGGAGAATATAAAATGTTAAACGATTTTTTTAAATCCACTCATTTTCTTTCTCTTTTTTAGTCTCGAGCTTGGGAAAAATAATATAATATTTAATTATTTTAAACACTCACACAAATGCATAAACACACACACATTTTTCGTTATCCGTCTGATGAAGCCATATAGGCAAAAGGCATTATTGAATATTATTTTCGAAACATACTTTCATGAATGTTCTTCCAAATATAAATAACTTATAAGTGTGAAGAAAAGCGAGAAGGAAGGACTAAACATCAATCGAAAGAAGGCATAATAGATGGTTGTTACCAAAAGGAACAGCCCAATATGCGAATTTCAGATGCCAAAATCAAACAAGAACATCAATTTAATATCTGGGAAACGTTCTAAGAGAGAAAGGAAAGTGCAACACTGAAATCCGAATGTGCATTGGGATAGCGAAATATGCCTTTCAAAAGCTAAGAAAAGTATTAAGAAACAGAAAAGAGTTATTAGAAACAAACACAAGAGTAGTGAACTGTTGCATAATATCAGTCCTCCTATATGGTATTGAACGATGAACTGTCTCTTCCCAGATGAAGAAGAGACTTAAAGCAACATAAATGTGGTTCTATATAAAGACGCTAAGAATACCATGGATCGAAAATGTGAGCAACGACGAAGTTTTAGAGAAAATAGAAACTTATACTTAACATAGGAAACGGTCAGCTGGAAATTATTAAGACACACAATGAAGAAAAAGGACGTGGAAAATTTGATACTCACAGGACAGATTGAAGACAGGAAGAGGGGAGAGGGAAGCAACGCATAAACTACCTCGGGATCTTGAGTAAAAATGGATGGTGGAACATGCTTTAGTAGTGATAACAAAAAGATAAAAGATATTAAGAGCTACAAAGGACAGGGAATTGTGAAAAGCCATGATAGCCATCACCCTAAAGGGACACGATACATAGAAGAAGAAAAAGAAAAAGACGAAGAAGAATATTAGAAGAATATTTTTTTGTTGGAAGTAAATATACATAAAAAAACAAAACCAAATAAAATCTTACCTTTGTCTTAGCGCTTCGTTCTCAGACTTAGCTGTATTAAGGTTAGTTTCCATGGACTTGTACTCCCGTCGGGAATTCTCCAATGAACGGTTGGCAGCATCCAAGGAAATCTTCAGCCTCTTGTACTCATCCTGAAGGTTTGTGTTGATGGTATGCATCTCCTGTACAGTCTTTTGCACCTTCTCCAGCTCGGCCCGCAGAGAGCTGTTCTCTGTCTTGCTCTTATGAAGTTCGGAGATGATTACTTCACCTGGGCCTTGCGATTTCCCAGTTACTGGACGTTCTTCATGGCTTTTACCCAATTGCCTTTTGAGCTCTTCGTTTTCTCGTTTCATCTCGTCCAGTTTCACCCACAGCTGGCCCATACTCCCGCCACTGCGGCCGATCCTTGGGGTGCCACCTCCGGATGAAAGGCGCTGATTCTCAGCCAGGAGGGCTTCGATCAGCGTCTTGGCTTGGCTCAGCAGGTGCCTACTCTGGGCATCCCGCTTCTTTAATACAAATACGTTCCCCAGGCTGTCAAGGAATGACTTGGCATCACTTACCAAGTCCTTCTTACTGCTTTCACACATGATTGCTCGATTGAAATGGGACTAAAAATCACACACTGAAATAATAAAAGAGAAAAAACGTTGATTAAAAATACGCGTCTGCCATAGAAATTGAAAGTTTAACGAAAAGAAGTTATTAACATCGCCATTATCTTATAGGTTATTATCTTCACCAATATAACTTCGTACCGTTACTTATTACGCTTATGTTTATCTTTCTTTTTTATCGTTATTCTTATCATTACAAAACCTCGCCATCGATCAGTTATATGCCATGCGTAATACACGCTTAGGTGATCATATATCTTTGATACATAATGTTGTGGTAGGATCCACCTAATTTGCATAGTGGAGTACCGACCATATAAATATGGTTGGTACCGGGAAGAGAGGGAGGAATCAAGAGATTCAACCAGAGACTCTGCCCGACTGCGACTCAGTCAACACATTCTCCAGGAACGGTCTTACCAGGAATATACAAAAGACTATATGTAAATATTGTGTACACTTTCTTGTTTCAATACATTTTGTTCTAAGTACCTTTTGTGTTGCATTATTATTCCATGCATTAGTCAAGTTTCAACACATAACGAGGCAGATTTTTTTTCCTACAGTAGGTTGCCATTTCTTTCTGCCATCCAAGAACCCGGTCTGTCTTAGCTGGGGGTGGGTGAGAAGACGAGGATTCAAACATTTCCCAAGGGTGTTAGCACGTAAAGGCTTAAAATGGATTCGACAGGAATTCGAACTCGGCTCTCCGATTCCTCAATCCGAGCCTCATCTCACCATATATGTTAGTATTCGTATTGCAATTACAACGTTATCATCATGACATCATGCATACATTCATTCTTCTTATTCTTATTATTATTATTGAGTGAGAGAGCAGCACGCCAACAAATTGGCACTGGGATACAAACAATACGAAGCTCAATATGCCCGTTATGACACCCAGTTTGATAAAGGTATACCAAGCACATGCAACACAATAATATCGTGATAATTTGTGAAAAATGCAGAAGAAGCCAAAAGGTGAACTCTCTTCACTGATTCCACTTTCCCTGTTGGTGACCAATATATCATGGCACTAATCCCTGTTGGCGTAAAAACAAAAATGGCACGGAAAACGGTTAAATTTATAGGTTATATTTTATCTTCTGCAGAGCTGGGGCTGAATATATTGTGATCCGTGCTGTCTACATACTGCCGTTGATCGACGGTCTGAGTAAATGTTACAATATAAAACAAATAAAAAATATAGGATTATATATTATTATTATTGATATGTCTTTTCGGAATTTCACGGCCATTGACAGCAAGGTTTGTCTCCATTGACTCATTCGCCTGCTTTTCGCGCACACTTTACAGTATCTTCTCATTCTCGCCCTTATACCTTCCCATGTTCTTTACTCATCTATGGTTTTATCTAAATGTTATCTATATTTGAATTAGTTTCATAGGTGAAAGAATGTATCTGTGATGCACAAATATTCTGCACTGCATCTTCTTTTTTATATTTCTTTCCGTGAATCGGAAAATAAATTTAATCGTAACTTTATGCTATTTCATCTCTATCACTGAAGGTGTCGTTTATTGTCTTTTTATATAAAACTAGAAAGCCTCCTCTCTCGCTATCTCTGTCTGTCAACGTGTCTGTCTGTCTCTCTCTCTCTCGCTATATATATATATATATATATGAGGAGGCACGGTGGAGTAATGGTTAGTGGCTTGGATTGAGGAATCGCAGAGCCGAGGTCGAATCCATTACATTCACTTACGTGCTAATACCCTTGGGAAAGGTATGAATCCTCTTCTCCCTCTAGCTATGGGTAAAATAGCAGGACAGACTGGGTTCTATAGCCTTGGATGGCAACTGGTCTAGAAGGAGGACAACTCTGAATTCAAAACCTGCGGAGGGTCGTTTGGGGACCTTGTGGCTTAGTGCACCAGGTCTCTGTATTCGTCCCTTCAAAAAGTGTGGATGGTCCTGTACGAAACCTTCACCACTATAATCAAATCTCATGTGTCGTTGTTGGGCTGTCGGTTTCCTGGAAACTGATCAGCTTGACCCTCATACGTCGTATTCGACGGGAGAGTCGACTATATATATATATATATATATATATATATATATATCTGTGTGTGTGTGTGTGTGTGTGTGTGTGTGTGTGTGTGTGTGTGTGTGTGTGCACACAAGCACGTAGCCGAGTGGTTTTGCATTTTGACCATTAGACCGGGATCCAAATCTCACCATTGTCAATTTGTTAGGAAGGAGACTTCCTGATATTATCGGACTGGAGGGGTCGATCCCAGTGTGCGTCACCTTTGTATATATATATATATTACATGAATCATTCATACAAAAAACAGATATAGAAGTTAATGATTTAAATGACGAGAATACATCTTCGCAAACAAATTTAATAAAGTACATTAACCCCGAACCTGTATATGAATGTTATTATCCCTGTTTATAAATTCCAGTTGCATAAGGTCTTTTTATTTTTTACAAGCTTTCGTCTGTTCATACAGACATCTTCATGTATGGAAATAGATTTGTTTTTGTTTTTTACTTCATTCGGTAAACGTGCAACTTTCGGATAATATATATATATATATATATATATATATATATATATATATATATATATATATTGTGTGTGTGTGTGTGTGTGTGTGTGTTTGAATTAGGTATATTTTGGCACCAAATATTTATCCAAACAAGTTTGAGTAAAAGAACCGACAAGATCTGTCTATTTTCTTTTTATACTTTTCCAACTTTTGGATAAGACATTGGGCAGTATTAAATATTATTATCCAAAACTTTGAACATAATACTGAGCATCTTATACGGAAGTTCGAAAATTATAATAAAAAATGTAACAGTACCTTGTCGGTACTTTATAATCAATCTTTTTTTTGTATACGGCATATCAACTTTTTGTAGGTTATTTAAAGCCTTAAATAATTTTTGAATGTAAGAATTTTTTTTTTTTTTTTTACAGGTAATAATTATTTATTGATACAAGTTCATAGCTGGGGAGAAGAGCTAAGTTGGGGTTTCAGACCATTCCCAGGAACATTTACGAGGAAGTGGATTTAGGGAACCTGACTGGAATTATAACTCGGCTCTCTTATTTTCAATATCGAACCATTATCTATTACACCAAACGCACATACGAGCTTACAGCATCTGGTATTCCCTAGCGGTCACCCCTCTAGATACTGACCAACGTCGACGTTGCTTAACTTCACTGATCGTGCAACAACCGATGTTTTAACGCCATATGGTCGTTTTCTATGTGCGTTATGTCTGATGTAGCGATATCAGTCAACTGATATCTTATTAAATGAAAAACAGATGACCTGTCATAAAAACGGATTCGGACATTTATTTAGCCCGTTGGTTATCAGTAAGTGAAATAGACTTCACAAGTACGGAGCAAGCGACTGCGACAAAGAGAGTTACTGAATGAATATAAATTGCATTTTAGACAAATATGACAAGACAAAGAACAATGTTATTTATAAGACCGTGACTACTGCCCGCTAAGAGTTAGAGAGACGGTGAGTGCCCACGAAGAACAACGTGAAAGGGAAGACGCCCGTTTGCAGACAAGACGCCAGATCAGGGCCAATTAGATTACATATCCGTCTCTGGATCTTGTCAAGAACTCCGAGGTAAGCAGAAGGTGCTCCAGCCCATATATGACAATACTCCATGCAAGGGCGAATGGTTGTTTTGTATATTTTAAGTTTACAGCTACAAATCCTCATGTTTTATATCATGAGTAACGATCTGCCCGAAGGGTTATTTTTAAGCCACAAGCTTATGAGTAGAAGAAGCTGCACCCTGAGAACGAACTTGGTGTTGGGTCTAAGCTGCAACGGTACGGTGTGCAATATCATTTTTGTTTTACTTGCCCACATTGTGTGTTTAACGATTTTGTAAAATTAATAACGCTCCCGAAATCTATTGTTCTTTTCATGTTCCAGAGTGAATGTGTCAACGTACTGACAGTTCGAAATTTATGCTTTATTAGATATAGTTTCGTGACTTTTTGCTTATTGGATTATTCACATTCTTAAATTCTATAAATTGTAGTTTCTCCTCTTTGCATAAATTGCAATTACTACCTGTTTCTTTTTCATCGTTCTTATCATATACAATTCTACAGTTTCATTTTTAGTTCCCATATATATTTTGACAACCTGGTGTTATTCGTATATATTTCGTATTTAAATGATAGTAAAGAGTTTGCATATCTTTATTCAAATTCTTTAACAGTTTTCACGATATAAATCCTCTCTTCTATTGGAGTTGTTACTTTCGCCTAATATATTTTTCTCTCTGCAATTTTCCTATAGTGGGCATTTGGCTTTATTTCGACAATTTCATTTGGCGTAAGTGTTTTTGTATTGTTGCTATTTTGTTATGCTTTTTATTTGTTCACTGTTATCCATACAACTGTAACTAACTTTTTAGTAAATATTTTCGTTTAATTTGTGTAATTTATAGAAATATTTGTCTGTAAGTTAAAAAGAGAAAAATCTATATTTGCATCAACATTCTTATTGTATAACGAATTAAAGAATGTTGTATGTTTCTATTTTTTCTTTTCTAGTTTTGGTGTATATTTATTCTAAATTCTAACTATAATTAAATGCTATTCTTTATTCTTCTTTTAATTCATTAAATATCGTTTTATCTGAACAGTTTTCGGTGATTCTTTTAGTGATCAACATGAAAAAATATATTAGGACCTTGAATAAGTTCTGGTTCATTTTTCATTAAAAGTCTTCTTTTTCTTTTTATGTGCCGTGTCCTTTCAGGACGTAGGCGATCATGGCCCTCCACTTTCCCTTGTCTTTTTTCTTCCTATTCGTCCCGTGAGTATCAGATTTTTCAGGCCATCTTTTCTCATCACGTGTCCCAGAGTTTTCATCTGCCTCTTCCTTCTGTTACGTATAAGCTTCCTCCTTGTTTGCATCCTCTCCAAGACCTCATCGTTTCTCACATG